GAATCGATTCTGCGGCGCGCCAATACCCCCCAAAGAGAGTCATAGCGACTCTTTTTTTTTTAAGAGTGTAGGAGGGGTCCAGGTGTGACCCTGAAGGCTGGGAGTGAGTTGAGGGGTGTCCGAAATGACAATATTTATCTTCTTTTTTTTACGCAACAACTAGGACACGCAGGCGAAATCGGTTTTTTGTTCTTTACTTCAGAAGTGTCAGAGGGCAACTTCCAATAATCTTTGACCGAAGTCCGGAAATCGTTGCACCCCCCTTTAATATGTCGGTGTCCCTCTAGATGTTGCTATTTTATTTTTCAATTTCCCTCTTAAAAAGAGCTGTCCCCCTAAGAGCATTTTTGTCGCCTCTAATATCAGAGAGACAGCGTTTTGTATGAAATACCGGTTTTAGAGTGTAGCTTCCGTTTCTTTGCGGATTGTGGGCGAAAACTACCACTTTTTTGTTTGCGCGAAGTCGATTCAAAAGCCGCTCAAAATTCGCAGAAAATAACGAACAGAAACGATGTCTTAAATCAACCACATGTTTTTTTTATTATAACACGAAAAGAACGTGCCGCATACATGTGCGAACTTTAATTAAAGCTCTCTGCAGAACACAAATCAAACTACGAAATAGGATTAAGGCAGGATTCCATACAAAGCACACAAGCACGCAATGCCAATATATATCACTTCCAGACCGCAACATTGAAATACAACTTGGCACTGAATTTAGGGTCTAAGCAAGCACAACACATTTTTGCGACAACCTTTTTTTATTTTTTTTTCTGCCACTGGGAACGGGAAGGAAAACGCTAGTTCGAACACAATAGATCGATAATTCGCTAAATTTGCCTTATATAGTAGCTAAAATGGGAAGAAAAAAGGGACGCAAGTGACGTGTTTAAAATTATTTACGTTTATTATTGCATCAAACACCGCCTATACAACATAAAAGTTCGAACGTGAAACTACTCTGAAGAACGCAGATCACAATGCAGACAACTTTAGCTTTAGCTGTTTAAGCGTCACGGCGATTGTACGCTAGAAATCGGCAAGAGCAGGGTGGACGTCCGTTGAAAGCATGGGGTAAGCACAATGTACTTACGAGAACAACAAACTCGAAACGTGTAATCCAAGATCCCTGGTTTACAACAACACCGAAAGTGAAGCTGTCCGAAACACTCAACGTCGCGCACTTAAAGCCTGCATACACCCTCTTCAAATGCGAAGTCGGCACGGAAACGAAAACCTTCATCCGGACAAGGACCGGACACTGCACAGCAACGCGGGCAAACGATGAAGTGTCGTCGCACCACCGACCTCGCGCAGCTCGTACCGCTGCGCGTTTTCCGCAATCAAAATGTTAACACAAACACTGGAACTGATCATCAAAAGTGACTAAACGCAACATTATAGTGTGTTCTCGGGGCATAATTGTGTTGCCCAGTTTCTTTTTTTTTTATTCTACAAAATCTACAATGGCCAATACAAAGGAATTTTGTTGGAACTAGTTTAAGTCGTAGGACCACAGTGTCAGTGTGCCCCTTTTCGTTTTCGTCGTCCGTAGTTGCTCGTTCCTTCTCCCCTCCACAGCGTCCGCACCGATCGTCTCTGACCGCATGCGTTTCTGCGTTGTTGTTTTTTGTTTTTTCTCGTTTATGCTGCGCAGACGTCCACAGAAAAGCAACGGCGCAGTCAACGTGCGCCGTTGGCTGAGCCAGCCGCTGGCGCCGCCGAATTATGGCCGAACCCCGACGGGGATGCCGCTCGCGATCCTTTTTGGGCAGCCGACCCAACGCCTGTGGCCGCCTTGTGAGTGTCAAAATGTCTCGCATTATCAAAGTCATATGGATGCGTCAAAAGCACGCCAATATTACGACGGAGAGCTGACCGCCAGAGCAATGGAAGGCGCATGGCAGCTAAAGCCCCAAGATGTGTTGGCGTGTGTCATCCAAGTAGCGTTAAATATGCCAGTGGACGATGCTTGTGTTTCGAGCCGCCCCTGGAAGCAAATGGCGGGGCAGCACTGAAATAAGCAGCCCATGAAAGCGAATGACCGCAGAGCACTCCCTCATGGCAAGTGACTTCTGCGTTGGCGGTATTTGAAAGCGTGAATTTTACTGAGGTACTCTTACGGTGCACCCTTAAAAAAAGGGTACTGTAGTACCCTCCTTAAGGGGGTAACCGACTTGCACACAGGGCAACCCCTTTTGGAGGTAACGTTACCCGCTGCAACGAGGGTGCAAACTTACCCCCTAGGTTAGGGTGCACCGTTGCCTCCTTTTGGAGGTAACCTTAGTTCCTTTTGGTGTTAAAAGTGCATTCTTTCAGGGTGAGCCTGAAAAAGCGGTAAAAAAGCAGATAAAACCAGCGCCCTCAATTATGTCGTCTTACGTCTCAAAAGGGTTAAAGTTCACTTCTAAAGGAGGTTATCCTTTAGGGGGGAACTTTAACCCTTTTGAGAGGTAAGACTACATAATTGAGGGCGCTGCTTTTACCTGCTTTAGGAGGGAACTATGATCCACTTTGGAATTAAATGTAAACGATGAGGAAAACAGCACTGAAAACGCGGACAAAGGACGAATCGAAGCGGGGGATTAATTCAAGGGAGTTTTGGACTCTTGAAAGGCTGAGGGAGGATGATATTAGACAAATGTTTTTGTAGATAACGACCCAGAGGCTTTTGCCAACACCCAATTTCTGAAATTATGCTCCTGAAGGAAACTCCGAACTTGTGAGATTGTGCAGTAAAGGACACAGACAAATACTGTTCGGCAGGACTACCAATGGTTCAAGGAGGAACAAAGTTCTTTTGCCCTTGAACGCAGTCAACCCGATGGCATAGTTTTAAGGGCACAAAATTCTTTGACAAGGCATCATGAACCTTATCATTAAAAGCACTTTTCTCCAAAATTACAAAAACACCCGTTTTGTCCGATTTAAGTAGTTTTAGGTGTTCATGGCGAAGTTCTTGCACAGCCGCACGTAGTGGAAGCCTGCTTGGCCGAGGGGGTGGATGGTGACACACTGCACGCACTGCCGAGCCCAGAAAGTCTTGCCGTTGATGTTCAGGTATAGACGACGCGACTTGATGCACAGAGGCTAGCTGGTCTACCTTCAACGAAGGAAGATCTGGAGCAAACTTTGGTCCCCTCGACAGCAGATCCATTGTGGCAGCGGAGAGCTTTTTCGTAGAAAGCATCACGGGAGGTTCAAACTTGGTGGTCTTTACCTGTAGACACGAGGTGTTGACTTCCATGAGCAGTATAGGCTCTTGCTGAGCACTCCGAACCCTATATATAATCTAACAGAAATGTAACGCTCTGTCTGTATATAATCTAAAGCATTACATGTATAGAATACTGTAAATTATAATATATTTTTTTCTGCTCCACGTACCAGCGCGGAGCAAATGGAGTGAAAGCTCGCAATGCAGAGCCCAGGGATCTTGGATTCAATCGCCACCCCTGCCCGCTTCGATCTGGATGAGCATCGAACCGGCGTGCAGTCGTGTTTCACTACTGCCTGGTGCACGTTAAAGACCCCAGGCTAGCGGTTGTAAAACACTGACCAAATTGCTCATTTACAGCTGAGAGACAAGTCGCACGTTGAGGCAGGGAAACGTCCGGCTGTATAAACATACAAAGACCCAATTTGTTTTAAATGCCTACACTGCAGATAAGCGTACCGGAGCCTGTGCTTAGTGCAGTAGAATGCCTTCCTTGTCAGTACTCGTGCGTAAAACTGGCACTTTCAAAAGCAACGCTGTCGCCCTGCGACATGGAGTGTAGAGATTTTACATGGTATGTCAAATTAGTCACTTTAGAAAGTGAATGTATCAGGTCAATGCTTATAATGCACAGCAATTTAGATTGTAACAGTCAAAAGCCGAGAGTGAGAAAGTAGGTTTGAAAAAGAGCCTCATCGAAGTTTCCCATGAGCGACGCAATGTGGACGCAAGCAGCTCCGTTTGCTTGCATGCAAAGTCGTTGTTTTTTTGTGTTTTTTTTTGCGAGGAAAGGTACCACGCATTGTCCTGATCCTGTTGACGTGTGTGTCTTCTGTAATGCCTACGCTGCACAATGCTTACGTGGAGAGCGCATGTAGACTACATGACATTTAAAGCTAACCGCGTGCTAAATTGCTTGAGGAGGAATTTTCGCAATTCTCCTTCCAATTTAAAAAAAAAAACACCCTGTTTCTTTCTAATGTAAGGCCTATTATAGAGCACGCTTGCGTGCTCTGGGGCCCCAAAGAACGCTATCTAGAACAAAAAATTGAACAAATCGAAAGCAAAGCTGCTAGGTTAGTTACAAAAAATTACAATTTCAAAGTGTTACTGCCCTAAAACGTCAATTAGACTGGGAACCTCTGAACTCTAAATGACGCCGCCTGTGTTTAAAATTTTTGCATAGGATCTATTATGATCAAAGTGGACTGGATAAAACTAAATTAATTGAACTGCCACACTTTGTGTCACGCAAATTAGATCATTAAAAAAAAATAGAGAATTTTGAGCTAGGACTAATATATTCAAATTCTCAATTTTCCCGAATACCGTTGAACAATGGAACGAATTACCAGAGTAAACAATTTCAATTCCATCGTCTGATAATTTTTTTTTGACATACTTTCACGTGACAGCTGGGAATAAGGAAAGTGCATTTTCTCTTTGTGAACGTGTAATCAAAATGATTGGTCTGTAACACGGTACTTTGTGTCTTCATACATTTACTTGTACGAACAATTATATTGGTGGCTAAAGCTTAATACCACTGTGGATTAATTTGTTAAAATGTTATAGTTTTGCAACACAATTTTTTTGTTTTGCGAACTTGTTTTTTTTTTGTGTGTTTCTGTATTTGACGGCTGTAATTCTTGTGCAAATGTATCCTCACACCTCCCCCCCCCTCCCCTGCAATAATGCCTCTTGGCGCTGCGGGGTAACATGTAATAAATAAATAAATAAAGTAGTACAATGTGTCCGCCCTAAAGCAGATCAGACTCACCTCGGCAGCCACATGGCATGCGTCAACGGCAGCGTCGACGCCGGAGTTTCCGATGCCCACGACGGCAACCCTCCTGTCCTTGAACTGGTCCGGGACCTTGAGGCTGTGGGTGTGAACGATCCTGCCCTCGAATTTCTCCTGGCCCTTGAACGTGGGAACGTTAGCAAACCTGTAGTGCCCCAAGGCCACTAACACTGCGTCAAAGGTCTCTCTGCACTCCACGTCACCGTTGCGATCCTTGATGAGTACGTCCCAGCGACCAGTGGAGTCGTAGTCCTCCGCCTGTGTCACACGGAGGACTTCGTGACGCAGGCGCACTTTACCCGTAATGCCAAAATGGTCTGCGTAGCTCCTGATGTACGCCAACATCTTGGTGTGGTGCATGAAGTTGGGAGCCTCTTTGGGAGGGGGAAAGTCGCTGCAGAAATGGAGTACAGTGAACGCTGTCTTGGTATATAGGCCTTTATAAATTGTGACGATAAGATAAGAATAGCAGTTAATTAGTATGAAAATGAATATTTGAGCAATCAATCAAGTACTAGAATAAAAGCAATGCAGAGTGAAAAAATCCATCATGTCTTCACAGAAAATGGGGTGTGTATGAAGATAGATACAGATTAATTGCATAAAAGAACACCCTCAATACAATATTCGCATGACCTATGGCTAAGAGATCCTTATGGTTGGCTGCGAATCAATTGGTGGTCGTCCCCGAATGGCATGTGCTACAAAATCCTGGTTCGTGGGCTGATTCACCGATATCCAAGAGACCTAAGGTACTTTTAAGCTGGCCCAATGAATGGGAAATAACACTAGAATGTTCTACTTATGTGCTAGGAAAGTACACATCTCATGACGATGCGAATGCCAAGAGATGATCCCTTACGGTGAAAAGGAGTTGAGCTAGTTGATTGTACATACTTGTAATGTGAGGAGAGATAGGATATCCGACCAGCGATCGGATGTCTTTTATCCTATCTCTCCTCATAAACTTTGTGTAAGTTCATCTGGTTTCATAATTTAAAAAAAAAATGATGCGTGTTTTTCTTTTTAAATTTTTTTTATTTTGATGTGTAAACGCTGCAATCTAGAATTGTAGTCTTGTTCAAAATTGTGTCGTCTAGGGCACAAACGTAAGCATTAAAATATGGTGCCGCTTAATACTATTTTAAAGTAAAACGAGCTGGTATCGTTTCCCCGTATAGTGTCGAGAACTGTAGATCTAGAATAATCGGGCAATCTAGGCCACTTTGTCTCCATTTTGAACACTGGGCACAGTTTGCTCATAGAACCTCTTGGAGAAGGAGCTTTATTTAAAAAAAACACGTAAAAAAAACAAAAAAACAACAACGAGTGACCATAGAGAGATGGGACATAATACCAAACAAAAAATCCAAATGAAGCAGTTTTGGCAGCACACCTAATAATTTTAATTGTTTCGAGACATTCTCTCTTACATTATACACGCATTACATTCATAACAATTTTCAAGATATATAAAATTAGGAGAGGGTATTGGTTAAACATCTTGGTATGCGAACACATTCCAACGAAGGCTGTCCGTGTCTGACGTGTTTTTGTGTTTCCTGTGTCTCCTTTTGCGTTCGCATACCAATATGCTCAAAGTAGTGTCGGTGTTTTGCGTCTGATCTATTAAATTCAAATCATGCTAACTAAAAATTATTAAAGACAGAAGAACGACATCAATGCCATTTTCGGGCCCTCTGACAGAGAAAATGTGGTAAACAACCATGATCAAAAATCAAATTGAACTGCGCGTCTTTTTATTGAAAAAACAAACAAACATAATACGTCAAAGGTTCAAAGGTTCTTTTAAGGCGTATTATGCTATATCGAATGTATGGTTGAATATCTTACTTTCTCAATAGGGGGCGCTTTCGCAAACGATGCACAAGTGAACTTGCAAACGCATTGATCTTTGCACTTGAATCACGCTTCAATGAAGCGGTAGTTGGTCAGGCTGCTCAGCGCCTCCTGTCATTGATTGCCGTTGAGTCCACCATTTGTATAACACCTAATTCATAGTTCTCTTTAAAACATCTTATTCGAGAATTAGAAACGGAGAAGATGCTTTCGTCTTGGCAACGCTGCGAAAACGCTGCACCCCGCACAGCTTTTCTTCTGTAGCGGGCGGTTCAGAAAACTGCGGCGTTGAATTTCTACTTTGGCCCTGCGCTCTTCGATCCAACTTAAAAAACATCGAATCACAAGGTATGAGTATGAGTAGGGATGCGTGTTTTCGGAGTTTATTTTTCGTGAAATTCGGAGGGTGTTTCTCGGAGTTTATTTTTTAGGGAAAATTCGGTGTTTATCCGAGTTTATTTTTTTTTGCAAATCCCCGATTCTTTAAAATTTTGAGATTAATTTCGCGGTGTTTCTTATTAAAAATAATAAAAAAAATACCCGGATGCAAAACGTACGCCAGATAAAAGAATAAAACGCGCTTGTATCAATTAAGATTTTCAGTTGAATTTGGCGTTGGTGTCATTGGCAATACTAATTTTTCCCACGACAAACTTCGCACACAAGTGTGGCTTCGATAAACGTTGATACCTTAAAATCAATAAACTGCCGGAGGTAGCCGCAAGGAAGCTCGTAGTCATCCCATCAATCTATCCCGCGGCCGCGCGAGGTGGAGTGGTTATGGATGTAATAGAGACGATTCAACTGCCCCTCTTCTCTATTTTATACAATCTCTATGGTCCATAGCTTTCACTGTTACCCACAGAAACATACCCAATCCTTTCTCTAAATCCCAAAGCCCATGGCCTAAACTGGAAACCAAAAGAGTGGCTTTTGTCGTGACACGAATGGTACGATGACCTGTTTCCCTGAACCAACCTTGGCGGGACATGCCGTAAGACCCCCTTTTGACACCGGTCCGAGGCTTGAAAGGTAATTATGGTGTCTTTGTTCCAGGACCATTAGTCCTGCGCTGCTCAAATTATAAAAAAAAAAAGAAAATACTTCTTTTGTTGTTGTTGTGGAAAAGGGGGGGGGGGGGGGGGGGGGTGGTTATGCGCACATAACAATTCGGAGCCTATCGGATAAATCCGAATTGACACAAATTTTACCGGCGGATGTTTTTCGAAGTTTTTCAGATTTATCCGAAAACACGGAACCCTAGGTAGGAGCAACTAAGGCGGCGGTTCTCGCTTCACGTTTTGTTCCTTGCTTTTTATATCGGGAAGCGCTGCGATCTCCCAGCCTGCCAAATAATCATAAACTGATCGAATAGAACCTTGTTTCAAGCTGGTAGATGGCACTTTTGCAAAACGGAATACCGCGGATACGTAGCCTTTGCTTTAGTGAGTGCCGGGTTTTCAGACGATTACGAAAATATCGCTCCAGATTTGAGAGCTTCTGACGTAGCGAATGTTTGACCGAAACTTTTCACTTGCACCTTGTTTCCCTGATAAGTATAATTTATATTAAAAAAACAATACCAGCAACTCTCTCAAGGTCATCGAAAGAAAGAAAGCTTTCCCAAACATATTTCACACTACCGATGTACGTGTGTCCCCCTCTGCCCCCCCCCCCCCCCCCCCCCCCCCCCCCACCTCCAAAAGAAAATCTAAACAGATGAGCAAATACAGAGTTTATTTATCGCAAAATTAAAATAGGCATCGCTGAACGCTTATCCTACACCAAAAAGCAGCGCTAGAGCTCCGAACCACATGCCAAAGTTTTAGTAATATGCGTTGTCTTATGAAAAGTTGTGATATTTTAAAATTGTTTAATGTCCATTTTTTCCCGTTTTTGGTGACTGGCACCATAAAGCTCTTTGTATTTTTTTTTTATTATTACATACTGCAGCCCCGTTGGGGCTATTGCAGGAGTGGGGAGAAAAAACACAGTTCACATAATTCAATACTCAATAAGACAGAATTATTGCAGCTGACAGAACTCGAGAACTCTGTCAGCTGCAATCTTTTATTTGAAAATTCTGAAAATTGCCTATAACTTTCGAATAAGATTATTCTTGGTTATAAAATTTTAACACCTGGTTCGGTCCTCTATGCCCCCCCCCCCCCTCCCCCGCCTCTCATCCGTTCACACGAGCACGTCCAAAAAAAAGAGAAATGGAACGCGTTTTAAATCGAAAAGCAGGTTACGGTGTGGTTGTCTTGCGCTACTGCTACATTACATACAGTTGGACTGCTCTTGACTCAGATAAACTGAAAGTAGTTCGAGTTTCGTTTATTGCTATGGACACATATGTGCCCCCCCCCCCCCCTTTCCGCCCCCCCCCCCCCCCCCCGCGGCTCTTGGAAGTTTCGTGGTTTTGTTTTGCGGCTCTTCCTGGCCTATGAAATTCATAGACCATGTCTTGCGTGAGGGTGGCCAAATGTTTTCGGATTAAAAAGTAATAAAAGGCTCGGAATAGCCCGACGGAATATGTTTTTCACTCGTTATAAATCTCCACTTATTTAAATTTGGACTCCTTAGCACTTTTTATTTGTTAGACATCTTCATTCTCCATTAATATTTTGACCTGTTCAATTTATTTGTACATTGAACCTCTTGGCCCACATCGCTCAATTCACCAACCTCAATAGACGTGCATGCATGTCGCCGCCATAACTGTAGTTCAGAAAAGGCAGGCGCCAGTTCACGAGACAATTCGTGCAGCCTCGTGCTCTGTTCACAAAAAAACCTCGACGAGGTTGTCGCACGCGCAGAAAAACTTTAGTTCCCACGATGCATTGCCGCAGCGGTGGCGTCATTGAACGGACTGTGCGACCGGTCTATTGAGTCATTGAATTCCTTGACTCATTGAACTCCTCACCTCGTCAAGTATTTTGAATTTCTTGGACATATTATGCCCATGAATGTCGACCTATTGAAGCACTTGACTCGTAGACCATGTTTGCTCTACCGACCCATTTAACGTGCATGCATCTTATATTCCTTGACTTATAGACCCGTTGCTCTCGGGCAGGGGGCGCGAGCGCGTTACCAATATGCGGCCATGTTATCCTGGCTGCACCCTCTACGCGATACGACCATATAAGCGCCGCTGTGACGTCCGATTGCGCATGTGCCGCGTTCAAATGCAGGCTTCTGTTAGCATTTGTTAATGCGCCATAACAAAACGTCTAAACAAATCATATGCAGTTCCCGCGCGGCCTCAGCGTAACATTAAATATTCCTTTCAGCTCTATTATTTCTATTGCTTTGTTTTATAGCCACCATGGGTACGTATGCTTCACTTCACGTGATAGCGATGCCGAGGCTACTTGCAAACGCATGTTCCCCTGAACGATGCTCGCACTGCACGAGCGCGCGTGCTTGGCAGGGACACTGAAAGCTCGGAGCTTGCTCGTCTGGTATCTGCTATGTTGACACTTATAATGAAACAGAGTATAAAAACTGTAGTGGGGACGCACAATGACGCATGTTCGAAAAGCCAGAAAAACGAATCA